CTGAGGCGCTTTCACCACAGGCTCTCAGTCCTCTAAGAAGCAGGTCGTAGACTTTCGTCGGGTCCTCCCTGATGGGCCAGTCACAAGTGGTCAGGAGCTCCTCCACCTGACGCCGTCATATACAACTCTCGTTTCTCCAAAACGATGGCAGATCTTTTTTTGTTCCAACTTTCGGCTGAATCGCACTTTTGCTCGAAGGAGACGGTGATCTGAACCATTACTGAATGATGTTACCACTGAGAAGTCTAGTAGGCACCACCTTCGGTTGGTGAGAATGTGGTCGATCTCGTACCGTTGGATGACTCCCATGTCCACCACCGGTGTTCTTTCTTCATGAAGATGGAGTTGCCATGAAAAAGCCGTGCGGCATATAAGAGCCCAACAAACGGTTAACATTCTCATTCCGGAGTCCTGATCCAAATCTCCCCATCCTGTGCTCCCCTTCTTCTGGCATCCCGATTTTCGCACTGAAGTCGCCCACGACGAATTTATAGAAAGATTTTTCTTTGCGGACTTCCTTCAAATCCTCATAAAAAGCATCAAGTTCCGAATCATCAGCTGCTGATGTTGGAGAAAGCAATTGATGGTAGTGATGGTTTTCTGATGCGAATAGACAAAATGGACAACAGGTGGGTGTACGACAAATCCAACGCCTCCACCGTGATGGAACCTTTTCACCAACGGATGATGAGTGTGCCATCACTCAACTGCCTCACGTCCGCCTTCCTGGACTTTGTTACCTGCAAGGCGATTTCATGGTAGTTGATGCGCCCTGCAGCTTCGAGAAGGGCGTGAAAATCGGCGTTGGTGAAGACTGTCCTGGCGTTGTAGGTGCAGAGTATGAGACAATCGCCATGGCGAGTCAATGACGTGTCCTTTTGGGCCAAAATCCATGGCATCCTGTGCAACCTGATCCACTGGTCTTGATGACATCCGACGCCGTAGATGTGATTCAGTGTGCAGGGCTTCTTTTTATCTTATATGCTATACTTAGCAGTGCCTTCCAAGGGCCCTACCAAGCTTTCACCACAGGCAGTCGCTGACCTCATGTGAGTCAGGGAGTCACCTAGCGACACCCAGATTCACGCCCGCACCACGATGAGGCGGTAGACCATCACGGGGGTTATTTATTTTCACCTATTAAAATTTTGTGTAAGATTTCTGCTGCATACTTTTCCTGCCTTTTGTACCTCAGCATATGCTCAGTTTTTAGTACACTATCTTGTAAAATGGTTTCAAATGATGAGCCATGTATTGCAAGCACTCCAACATATTTTTTCATTTGATAAAATCCTGTGTAAGACTTCTGCTGCCTATTCCGCCTTTTGAACATCGGCATATGGTTTACTTCTTCCTTTTGTACAGGCTTTCATTCGTACACGCACAGTTCAGATTAACATACCTTTTGGAATTGTCGACCCGGGATGGGTCGCGATTTTACAATACCGCTCATAGCTTTTGCAAAAAAAGTGGCTTCAAAAGTTCGTCGCAAGCGGAATCGTCACAACTTCTTTCAGAATAGGTATTTTTTTAAAGGAAAAGCGGTGTTAGGCTCAGCTCATCCAGACGAATCTTAAGGTATGCCGCACTACAGTAATATCTACGGTGTACGGT